TTTTACCTTTTTCCAATTCTCCTCCCCATCCTGTCATGGCAAAGAGGGGAGTGAGCAGGGTCTACAAAGTACTTGACTGCCAGCTGGGTTAAGCCACAACACACAGCAATAGTTCTTTTTCTAGAACTTAAGGCTATGCATTTAAGCAAATCTGCAAACTAAAAAATGTAGTGAGATGAAATACTACTTGTGTTGTCTAACTGCACCCAAAATTTAAGCTAATTTCAAACACTTCTGCAGCATCAATTTAGCATGCTAGAGTTAAATAGTCTATCTCTTAAAACACGAACAAAGTAATATGCAAGGCATAAAAAATTATTTCAAGATAACTTCTTTTTTAAAAATACTGAAGTATAGGGAACAAAGCTATTTTCATACCACATCCAGAAAATGGATGAGGTGTGAAAGAAATCTCTTGTTTAATGTGACCTTTGGCTGTACTTTYACTTGTCATCATTATGAAGTAGCTACTCTCAGTGCCAACACATAAGCTGTGTTCTATTACCCCATAACAGTAGTAGCATGTCTTTCAGGGAGTGTTTCATACTTCAAGAAGCTGGTGGCAGAATGCACTGACAGCACTTACCTTTGTAGCTGCTTATAATAGGTCTTATTCAACAATAAGACCTCATTTACAAAARGAAATAAGAGTGTACTAAATTTCAGAGAGCATATCGCATAAACTAGTGTATGTTGAGGAACTCCCTTGGAGTTCTCAGCTTCAGTGAAAACATTCAAATAAGGAGAAATGCAAATTTCAGATTGGAACTCTGCCCCAAATAATAATATTCAGAGCTTTGTTACTGTGCACACACCAAAAATACTGCATCATTAAGATCTGCAACATACTTGACTTTTCTTAACGCATGTAATTAAGAAAATATTTCTGGAAAGCAAATGAATTTGAAATTCAAGTAAGATTAATAGAACAAATACGACAAATTTACGTTTTATACAATGGTAGCAAGCTGCAGAATAAAAATCAGCAGCTATCATTATCTAAAGCTGTTCATCTAACACCACAGAGAGAAAAACTATTGATACATACTGTACACACATTTTTATCCATGTATATAAATCAAAGGAAACAGCTTCCTTTAAGGCAAGCATATGAAGATACTAAAGCAAGATACAAATTAAATATTCATACATTCAATATTTCAAAATAAGGAATTTGGATATACACATGCATAATTTAAGTTCTATAGTGAAACCTGTCTACAGAGGCCATTTCTACTGTATTTCAACAGCATTGAAACTTGAAATGTACAATCCAGCCCTTCCATGCTGTGTTAAAACTTTAAAGTATATAGTAATTCATTTCAAGCACTAAACATAGAATAAAGGCCACATTATGCACATGGCACTTTTGCAGAGGAACTGCTGCTTTACCCTCTTCATTACAGCTCTAAAACAGGGCTGCCAGTAAGAGCCTCTCCTGCAAGGAGGTTTTGGACTGCCCAAGGTACTCAATGGRAACTGAGGCCAAATAAGACAACTTAAGGAACAAGGTGGCTCACTGGCCCTTAAAAGCCCATCAGTCAGAACTTACTCTGAGTCAAATTCTGATCCCAGGCACCAATTCTAAACTCTGTTGAGCTCGTGCTCACACATGAAGACTGAAATTGGCCCCTTACACATTCACTCAAGCCTCTRTGGAGTAAAGATTATATTTCAGACCTTTTTGATTGGCAGAGGAAAGGWACACAAAAACAGGTTTCACACAATGTTGTGCACTAGAAATGATTCTTTGTGATCACAGAATCTGAAAGTAGTTTACATACAATAACAAAGACATGTTAAATTTGAAGAGCTTATAAATTCCTATGCATGCAAAAAACCCTGTAGGTGAAAGAAAACCCCTACTATCCACCTTCCTYCCCTCAACCCATATCTCCTTCTGCATGTGTCTAAAGATACCACCAGTCCTCCATGTATTTAAAACCTTGCCACTAAAATAGAACTCTCCATATGGGTTATTAATGYGAATATTTTATTTTCTTATTAAAAGTTAAATGTATTAGTTAAAATATCAAGWGTCTCATTTTAAAAACATCCATTTTACTGGGACAAAAATAACTCAACTCGAAGAAAAATTAAAGAGTACTTAATAAGGAGAAAATAAAACTACYCTATTTCTACACAGTTTAAAGAAAACATCTTTGCCCCGTAAAGGTCACTCATTTGATCTTGACACACCTATGAAATCATAAAAGCAAAAGCTAAGTAACTAGAAAAGTGGTATTAAGCAATAAAAAACTAAACAAAATTAGTATCTACATGGTAAATTACTTCATTGAAAACCATCYATGGATTCTGCAAAGAATATACTTTTGCCTTAGAGCTAGTACTTTAATTTTCAAGAACCAAGRAAAAAAAATCAAAACTAGTCAGTAACAATGCAGCGTCGAAAAGCAATAAACTCAAAATTAAGTTATAAATAATTTAAAGCATGTCATGAAGATGTATTAATAATTCATCAGATAAATAATTTACTAAATAATCAAATAAATAAATAATGAAATACATAAATAAATCAGCAAATAAATAATTCTGCAAAATAACCTAAACAATAAGTCACTAAAACAAATGACAAACCTACAAAACTACAATGATTTTCTAAATTCTGATAGTTTTAAATAAACAAATGTATATAAACTAGATCAATCTTTGGTGGATAGAGAAATATTTTTCACTGCTATTGGTGAATTCCTGATTACASTGCACAAGGATACAATTTTAGATTTTACAAGAGTGCAGTTTTTCCCTTGTAAATTATTAACACAATTGCTACAATACATCCTGCTCTGTATTTTACATGTAATCCCTTTGTGTAGCTCATTTTTCCCCCMAAAAATGAAAATCTCTTTACAACATTCTTAATTCACTTTTTTTTTTTAATGGGTGCAGTACTTACAACACTGCAATAGCCTTCTTGGTGGCTCTCTTATTGTCTTCTGCAAACCTTCAGAAGTTTTGCTGCAGGGGAAAAACAAGTAGAATAACCTTAATTATTACAGATGGTATCTCATTCATTAGCAGATGACAACATTTTATTTGAAAGCACAAGAAAAGCTGTTTTATAATTCTACAAAGCAACTTAATGTGAAACAACCATTACAGTTTGCAGACTACCGAAAGTTTTCAGAAGTCTTTGGTGGAACGAGTTCAAGCAGACTGAGGCCTGTTTCTTGTATTTAAGCTGACACACAATCTGTGCAAACTGGCACTAATTCAGATGTAAAGACAAACCACGAGAAGGACAAAATACTTGGCTGACATCTAATGTTATCCTTGATTTTGGAAGTTCATAGTCCTTGAAAGAATACAGTGAGATCATTTAATATCSACTATCTAAGTACATTCACAATTTAATTAGAATACTGCACTCCAAAGCCAACATTGGTACCACAAAGGTCAAAATCCACTCAATTTTCAATCTCTATTTATTTTCATGAATAATACTGACAGTCACCATAGCTTTCTTCAAAGAGGTATTCTGTAAATATAGCAGCTGAAGAAATGTGCCACAAGTGTAATCATGTTATCAAYTTTTATCCATTCTGTCAAAAAGGTTTATTTGCTTTATTCCATAACACACATTACATACAGAAAAGAGTGAGACAGTTTTACAAACCATGCTACTGATATGGATTCTTTATCTCTGTACTGGACTGTAAAAMTGAAGGAACACATCAAACCTGAAGTTATATATTGCATACACGCACAGTTTTTTGCTACGTGTTTCAAAGGAAGTCAGTATGCAGTGTTGTTTCTGCAATATCTCAAATTGCTGATGGTGCTGCTGTATTTCAGCACTTAAAAGCATAAAGGATAATTTACTCTTAAAACTACCTGGGCACGTTATATTTAACAAGTCTCAAATTCTCTTTAGGGATTTTAATAAGAAAACACTTTGCTTAATCATAAATTTTATATTTATCTTGGCTAAACACCCTCCTTTGGATAGACTGCCATGTTTTGTCAAGAAAAATCAACACAGTGGAAATGAAGTACTTGTTCTGTTGTGTGGTCATTCAAAAGAGTATGTAGAAGTAATGTAAATGTGCAGCAGCGCTGCTGATAATTTCACGCTCTCATACACTCATTTCAATTTGCTTTAAAAAGGACTATTCCTCCTGGCTAAATATAGTCATCATGAAAAAGCATACCTCCCCTTTGAGCTAATAACACTGCAAGCCCCAAGACACAAAAGTACAAAAACTTCTATATTTTAAGGAATGGGAAGAACTTTCTTCTCACAGTATGTGCTTCTGAAGTGGGACAAATGAGACTGGTTTTTCTATTAAGGTACTCTCATTTAGTGCAGATTTCTGTTTGAAAATGGCAATTCATTCCYACACCACATCTCTAAATCCCACCAACCTCCAAAACAAATCATATATATCCCAAATGCTTCTTTTTAAAAGCAATGGKTCCTTGTAAAAGCAGTCTATACTTTCATGCATTAAAAGATTTTGAGGATTACTGGTGCACACAATGGCTCTGGAGATTCTCGAATCAGACCTTCTATAGGAAGAACCATTTAGTCATAGAGCATTCATCTGCAGCTTTGGAGCCTCTGGTAGCAAAGTGATTTTTCACCAATGAGTTCCAGTAGAGCTAAAACTGTAATTACAGTTACTGATGTCCTAAACCCAAATCTTTTTCTTCCTTTAAAATTCACTTGTTTTTTTAATTGATTTCACATTTGATTTGGGCTCCTAATCTATGGTTACAGAATTCACCTCCTCACACAACTACTTTTGTCTAAGCTGGAGGGTCATAATTTCCTGCTCAAATAACACATGTAAATCATTTAAAGAAGGACACAAACCAGCCAATGATCAGGGATACTGCCACCTTTCTCCTACTTGCAATCACATGCAAATTCCATCCTACACAAGAGGCAAAGGACAGAAAATGAATTTGATTCCATTCTTCCCTTCTGCCAGCTGGTCATTTTAGCCCCAGCCCTCAAATGTCTGGTGCCTTGCAACAGATCATGAGGAAGATCAGTCAACAGAAGACTAATGCAGAAGGCACTGATGTCCAGGTGCACCTCACAGAAAAGAATATAAAAGATCGAGTAATTGTGTGTGTTCTCTGCCCAGTCTGGGAAGCTGTGCTACAACAGGGAGGCTCCCTTGCTGGAACTCAAGTTAATTTGGATAATAATTCAAGGAACTGGATTGTACCATACACCTAAGAGCAAATTTCAAGTATTTACAATGGCAATATCATAAATAAGTCTCACAGGAAAAGGACTGAGCAACAAACTATTCCATTCTCCACCTTTTGATATTGCCATCATCAGAAAGTCTCTTAGTTTGAAGATACAAATCAGACCAAAAGAAAACACATACTGTTGCTTCCTTCCTTTGGGAATTCATGAATACAGGAAACAGGGAAATTTTAGAAAGAGATTRCTGTATAACATAAAAATTTAGGACTTTTTTTTGATACTCAGGAGTAAACACATGGAGAAGGCTGGACAGACACCTTTAATCAAATTATAGTTAATGTAAGGTAATGACCACTATATTCTGATCCACTTTTCAGGGGTTCTTGGAATTGTTATAAGTTACACAAAATATTTTGCATTATCAAG